ATACGTAGAAATCATGAACATTCGCAAATTATTATAAGCTAGAAATTCATAAAATCATATGAGGAAAATCGGTATTTTACGTGTGAATTTCCAAAAATTTAAACTTAAGACACAAATAAAAACTAKTTAAGATGATAGTACCTACACTCGAATTTTTTCTAATAACCTTTAATAAAAACATAAGTAAAACATTGTAATAAGTTTTCAAACGGAGTGTGAATATTAATAGTTTTATATATTTTCAACAACAAAATAACTTGCAAATTTTTGGGATATGGTAATAATACGATCTTTGAATGCTTAATGCTTAATGCTCTGAATTTCTAGCTTAATATAATTTACGTATTTTCGTGATTATTACGTATGTTGTCAAAATTAAAATTTAAATGCTTGTAAAAAAAAATGTGACTATGCATTTCTTTTATTTTTCAACTGCTATTGTAAAAATATTTAAGAGCTTTGTATTAAATTTTCAAATCTTAGAATTAAAAAGAAAAACTTTTATGAATTTCTATCTAAGATAATTTGAACATTACCGTAATTTTTACGTATTTAGTCAAAATTTGAACTTTGAATGCTTTTAAAAAAAAATTATGCATATTATACAGAGTGTCCCACAGAGATCTGACAAATGAAATAACTTTTGTTCTAATCAATATTTTTAAAAATGTTCTTTTAAATACAATTCATAGCAATTGCGCTATATTTTAGATTCTGAACGAAGTGATGAATGTATTGATTTTATAATGATGTGTGTTTTTTTTGTGTCTGTGTACGGCAYAACTAGTCGAAATAACCTACCAAAAAAAACTTGAAAATTTAATACAAGGTTCCTTATAAGTTGTTCTTATTGAAGCTAAAAAAAATTAAAAATCGTTAGTCACAATTTTTTTTTATAAGCGTTTATAGTTCAAATTTTTAGTAGTAAGTTTAAAAATCATACAATTTTTTCTGTTTATAACTAAGGATTAAAAATATAACACTAAGTTTTCCATAAGTTTTCCTTCAAATAGCTATAGTGAAAACTCGAAGCATAATTTATTCATATAGTGATTAAAAAATTACAAAAATACATAAGCACGATTTTTTTTTATTAACATTTGAAGTTCAAATTTTGACTAAATACATAAAAATTACGGCAATATTCAAATTATCAAAAATATTTTAGTCGAAACCTGTTTTTGCATGAAAATTCTCGTTTTTCTTTCTTTTTTTTTTTTGTTCACCCGACGCGTATGAAAACTTCTGATATTTCAAAATTTTAAATTTTGTATACATCAACTAGATTCATTTTTCTACCAGAAAAAATACTAAAGTTGTTGAAAATCGAACCACTTATCGTTCCCAAAGACACAAATAATAAAAAACACACACACATACATCGTAATAAAATCAATACATTCATTGAAGGAATCTAAAAAAAAAATACACATCATTATAAAATCAATAAACATTTTTCGCTCTACTCAGAACATTAAATAATTAAGTTAAGTATGTTTGGTGAATCACTCTATAGATTTAACAGTGATAGAGTGTTTATTTATTATCCAGAACCTACACTTATAAGTTATAAGTTATAATATGATCAATATTAAATTGCAGTGATGATGCGTGTATACTGTATAGATGTAGGGTGATATTTGTATTTCGAATAGATAACTTGCATTTTCAATAYTAATACACTGCAGAAAAACATAAAAACAATCAATCTTTAATTACGTAAGATAATATTATTTTAACTTGAAAGTGAGAACTATATTATTGACTATTGAAGCCATACATTAAAAGAGAAAATACAGTTTGATTTTTGTCTTACCGATTTACCATTGCCAACATTATATTAAATGAAATTATGTGTATATATAATTTTCTTCTTTAAATATATGATAGTAAATATTATATTATGGTATAAATTATAAGAATGGTGAGTTTTTATGTACACATTTTATAGACATCAAAAATGTAAATGTTGTTATTAACGATTGGAATTAGATCCATAAGTTAAGAAATAAAATTTTGATAATCTAAAGAATTAAAACCAAAGTAATGTTTATACATTTTATTTTGTCAAACGTTTTAATACTAGGGTATTTAAAATCTAGTTATAGATTAGTATAAATTACGTAACTTCACATAACTATTTAAACACACCCATTTATATTTTATATTATTTGAAATAACATACAAAATATTTACTATCTATTTTAACAGCTATTAAGAGTACGCTACACCCGCATGTGTTGTCTCAGTCTTACAAGTGCGTAACATATCAAATTTTACGCTCAACAGATCACGTWTAGCTCTTGCAGTTTAAAATGTAAAGTGAGTTGACCTCTTATAAAAATTAAAGATAACATTATTATGGAGGGCTTTTCATAGACTTTATGAGTATTTTAAGATATACAAACAATTTACAATTTTAAAATACTCATAACTATCGCGTTAAAATTAAAATACARTAAAAAGCCTATGAGAAGCTCTCCATAATAATGCTACCTTTAATTTTTATAAGTGGTCATTCTAAATTTTAAACTAACGGATCTAAACGCAATCTGCTGAGCGTCATATTTAATATGTTATATACACTTGTAAAACGGAGACAACGCATGCAGATGTAGCGCCCTCTTAAGTTTTTTTTGTCTACGTAGATAAATAGGAAAAATAATTATATGTGTTTAGGCCATATATTTTATATGCATTATCWCCAAACTAATTGACGATAATTACTACTTAAGATTTAATAACAATTCCTCACATCATTTTTACACTTCACACAGTCTCTAATACAAATAAACAAACTATAAATACCACATATATACACAATGAGTTTAATTTATGGTATTATCACAATATCACAAAACGCCGCAGTTACGTAGTTTGATTCAAATGAATGTAATTTGTTTATTGCTTTAAAATTTAAAATGTCATAATATGTTTGGAGGATTCCACATTTGATATGCATGCAATATCCGTTAATCATTATAAATAGTTACTGAATAGATGCAAATAATGAAAGACGTAAGATATTGTATATGAACCTCGTGGTTTAATAGGTACTATTGTAATATTAAAGTAATTATTATTACAGATAAATGGCTGAAAAATGTTATATCAATTTTAAAAAATGTCCTTACTTTATTTCCCAACAACATGCAAGGTATGGGGCCACCGTCTAATTGAGTGCATTTTGCATCCACGTCTTTTTTCCACTTGAGGGTGTTTAAAAACGAATTCTTATTTGACAAATCAAACATAATCACACATCCATGTGCGTCTTTATAGTATACGCGGGTCATCCACGTAAACCTCTCTTGACCTATGTAAAAAGGAGTGTCATGATTATACGGAAATATAGGTAGGTAGTAGGTAGTAGGGGGATTTGTTGATTCCGCCGAAATGCTTATAGCTTATAGGAAAAATGTTTATATTGATTCCGCCGGCTACTGTTTATGAAATCTACCATATTGATTCCGCCGGGCACTGTTCATCCCCCCCTCCTCACCACCAATTGTATTTTAAAATGTATAAATGTCACTACTTTTGATCAAATTTTATAAAAATATGATAAAATTTGGTCACATGTCTAAATTGAATAAAACTATAATAATTATTATATTATAATTTAAAATGAAAATGCATAATCTAATTAATATGTGAATATATTGTAAAATGTATAATCTATATTTTATAAAATTATAATAATTATATAGTTTAAAATAAAAATATATAAATGTTACTACTTTTGATAAAATTTGGTCACATGTCTAAATTGAATAAACTGCAGATAGTAATAATTGTATGTAGGTATATAAAATTAAAATGTATACCTACATATAAGTAATAAAGTAACTACTTTTGATAATACTTGGACACGTATTTTAAATAAGTGAACTTAGAAACTTTCTAATTAAACTATACGTTTTAAAATGCATATACTATGGGGAAGGGGGGATGAACAGTGTCCGGCGGAATCGATGTGTAGATATTTTAGACAGTAGACGGTGGGATCAATAGCCGACGGAGAGTCGATATGTAGATAATAGATATTATAAACAGTAGCCGGCGGAGTCGATATAAAATCGGCGGAATCGATATACGCCCGGTAGTAGACGGCGGAACACATAGTTGTGTCATACAATGTATAAAAGAAATTATCACTGATAACATAATATAGTGCTTACCAATGGCGTATTGTACAATGTATATACATAACAGTAGGTAGTAGCTATAGGTATACCTACATATATATTCAAGGTTTACTTAAAAACTTGATAAAAATACTATACGTAAGTAGGTACAGTAAGCGAGTGACTGACTCTATATTTAATATATTTCACTTGAGGTTTATTTTAATAATTACTAATTATAATACAGTTCAGACGCTCAGTATTTACATTTTTATATAAATTTAAATGTTCACTTTAAGCTATACGGCACTATATGTATACTCAAATAGTGAAATGTATAATGGATTTCGCTATATATAAAAATTAAAATTATTGAAAGTTTTTGAAAACGCAACAGCTCTGCTATTTCTATTGCAAAGAGAAGTATAAATGTTACTGTAAAATTTAACCAGAATCACACTATGTAAGTTACCTTACATACCTTAGCAGGTAAACATAATACCTATGTAGTATGTACCGAAGTTATGCTGATAAATAATGCTATAAATATTTTCAACTTTCAAGAAATGAACAATTAAAAGTTGCATAATAATACAATAAATGTATTTGGCATTTCCATTTTTCATTTTTTTTTTTTTGTAAGCTTACGTAGCTTACGATTTGTCCGTGATATAATTCACTTTAAYTAAAATTATGTAACTATCTATTGACATAGAACACAATAAATATTATAAATAAAGTCATCTTCAAATACAACAACACCCCATTATTTGTACCGTACAATGTTTATATTACTTATTATTAAATATTATATAAGACCTAACAACAAACCTGCTATATCCCATAGTTGTAATTTAATAGTTTCCGTTTCGGAAACTTTGATAATTTTTAAAGCGAAATCAACACCAACGGTACCCTTGTATTCTCTGCTGTATGATTTTTGTACATATCGTTTGACAAACGCAGTCTTGCCTACAGTCGGGTCTCCWATAATGATTACTTTGAATAACTTCTCCGGCATTATGGTATCTGAAATTTARATAATTAAATGAACAAAGTTACAACACGTAAGTATGTTATAAGAAAAATTAGTTTACAAGCGTTAATCGAATATGCAATAAATTGTAACAATTATATTATATTCTGATGCCCTAAAAATTTCGCATCGATCCCAGATTCCATACACATTCTAGCGGCTAAGGATTAGGTATTTTATAGCGCGACGTTTTTGACAACGTACCTATAGCCACGTGGGTTCCTATAAATATGATTTATACACATTTAATATTTTCAAAACCCTTCTATTATTGTTAAAATCAAAGTAAAATTATTGTATTCAATGTCTCCATATAACGCTCTTCATCGATTTGGTTTGTTCAACCATTCCAAAACATAATTTTTATTTCAAATAATTTATTTATTTGCAGGTAAAATCGAGATAGTTTTTATAAATTATGATAATTCCTAATAATGTTCGTAAAAACTATGATCTGGGGCCACTGCCACACACGTGAGATTGAATGGGGTCCTGCACCTCGCGTTTTGAGAAATGTGCTTGCCATTTGTCTGCACATACCAAGTCTATAATAAATAGGCTATAGACACACGGAAATATAAAATAGTGACATAGCGTAGGACGTTTAATTAGTTGGCCGTGTGTTACAAACTTAAAGTTAAATACCTTATACTACAGTATTACTACAGTGTATACACGATACACTCGTTTTTAGATTATCGTTTAAACTCTTATTGTGTGGCGTAATGTCTAGCGATACATAATATGTATATGAATTTGCGTACAAGCAACTCCACGAAAACGACTATATATATAACAGTATAATATATTATAATATAATAATGCCTCACCGGTTTTGTCTTCTAATGCACTATATAGGCACGCCTCTACCCACCACCTAACTAAACGTAAACACTTACATAACTCTATCTGAATAAAATTAATGGAAATTATTACCTATCTATACCTGCAACATAATCTCGGATTTTTATGATTCGTAGAAAAAAACATTCTGCAGGCTTTTTAATGCAATAATCATTTTTCACAAATATTAATTAGGTAGATGAMATTTTATTAACATTATGGAACTTACACGATCAAGTTAAAAGTAATTAATACATGTTTTAATGTTTATGGCAAACAATAATTATCTAAAGAATTATAAAAAAGTTTAAAATCAATTGTTTTATACTCTGACAATTAAAATTGAAGCAATAGTGGTGCTTAACTTGATTATTACGATAGGTAAAGATATAATAAAATATTTAACATTTGTATTTCAAAAATATATTGCAAATAGGTTCATTATGTAAAAAATATCAAACCAATTCATAGAAAATTGCATCTGCTAATAATAATATATTTATTATTAATATACATTACACATATATAATATAATATCACATATGAAACCAATAATCACTATTGAGTATTGAAATAAAAATACTATTATAAATTCAATTGCATATAATCAAAAGTTTAATTTGTAAATATAAATAAATTACATGGACATAGATTTTTTTATAAGGAAATAAAGATATGGCGTGCAAATATATAATATTATAGACTATAAGGAATAAACAGCGCTACCGTAAAAATACATCTATAGATAATATTACTTAGACACGTTATAAATATAAAGCATTATATTATGTATGAATATGCATGATCTATAAGCATAACATATGTTTACATACATAGACGTAATATGGATAATATACTTGCAATTTAAACAAAAATCATAACCGTTCGACACTTCTACAGCATTATTATATTCTGATATATAATCTAAAAAAGCAGCAGTTCCTAGAGACCAACCAAAATTAGTGRTGTTACAAATTACAATTATTACAGATTGTGCCACCGCTTCGAAAAATACAGTTCTTAACAGAAACACATTTTGTCATATTGATGGTTCTTTAATGTATAGATACCCAGTTATTATTATCGTTATATAAAGTACCTAGTACCTAGCTAAATCAGAATCAATCAGTCATACAATCCAAGGAACTATATGAACATGATTCATATGATTCAAAACTAGTTTCACTAAAATTAATATTTCATTTGGTAGATATTATTAGCTAAATAAATAGTTATTTATTTAATTTATAAAACTTATAGATATAAATAGAAGGTTACCTAATAAACCAGATACTACCTCAAGAAATTTAACGACTTCAGTATATATATTTAAAAAGTTTGAATGCACTTATTCATGCCAACATATTTTTAACTGATTTTAAGTATACCTCTCAGATGAAAATCACGGATGCCATTCCCGATGTCATAATTTTCGTCTGACGAGTGTGCATTTGGTCTGCGGTAACAATCGTCTAATTTGTCATGGTCATCCCGATATTTATTTTCTTCTAAATTTGTATCGTTGTCATTTACGTATTGAGTCTTTAACAAAGACATTACATATTATTTGATTTCTTCCAAAAATAATAATTTTGATCCAATTGTAGAGCGCACACTTATGAAAAAAAAAAAATGTATCAAGGTAAATTTAGGGTAGTAAAATAAAATAAAACGCTCTTTTTTAGAAATAAAAATTTAGACCAAATTTTAACTAAACTATTCATATATAAGAAAATACTAAAATAGTATGAACTAGGTTAACATTAAAATATTTATATAGGTATACCTTTAACATACAGTTACTCCAAATACAACACACATTCGTGTATACATTTTCATATGAAAATTTTATGTACAAAATGTAAATTAATTAAGCAAAACATAACATCATTAAAACATACAAGTAAATAATTAAAAAACTAAAAAMTTAAAAGTGCTAACCTAATATTTTAAACATAATTTTCATACTAACTAAACGTGCAGTTTATGATTCTATTATTGATAACAAATTAGAAAACTAAATGTCATTTTATTTGACATAATATTTTAAAAGCAATGTATGCATCATGTTTGAACAGGTTTTTTTTGTATGCACAATATAATATTTAAAATATGTCGAATATTCGATTTTTTGTTATTGCATTTTATAACACTGATGATACTATACAGTATAATATAATGTAATAATATGTACTCTATATTGTAGAGTACATATTATAATAGATTTATATTAGATTCCTCTCACTTCATGATTCTTAAATTGCTATAAATCGGTGCAGTTCTATCAAATAATTAGCTAATAGTAAATTGTAACTTTAAAAATATATATCGAAAACTTATAAACTGTACTATCTAGACATTTTCAAACATTGGTAAAATGTGTCAATTCTGTTCGGACGTTAGGCATGTCGAAAAACATTTTCAAGTCATCACCTACAAAGGCTAAAAATAAATATAGAATCATAARAGAATTTAAAATCACTCTATTTCATTTATGAATTATAAAAAATTATTGGAAATACAATCAATTTGAGGCAAATTTAGTTTTCGCTGATGGGCCTCCTAAATACAATATGATTACGTAAAACTGCAGACTAACTGTCCGGCGGTCTAACTGAAGCATATCTGGAGACAAGTGTGGTTAGTAAATGATAAAGATAGTAGGTGGATATGAATAAAAATGTCATGAGAAAGGTATAGATAGTCGATTAAATCTAAAAACAAGTATTGTATATCATTATCGATATAATAATTTTATATAGACTACAAGGGTCAGATTGCTGAAAATCTAAGATATATTAAGTTAGTAATCGTAAGCTTTTATAGTCTATGTAAACTTTTTTGCCATTTATTTGAGATTTCAAGAAGGAATACGTTTTTTTTAGCGAGGTCTTGTTTTAAATTAATTAATAATAAAACGTTCTACTAGGGACCCCGATTGTAAATCGCTGGTTATATAGGGGAATATAGGTACCTCGACTAAAGCCTAGCTTAGATTATGTGCAATGTGTACAAACATATAATAATTAATAAACTCTACATATATTGATAAAACAGCTTCCGTTAGTTTCTTTCCAATTAAAATTTTAAATTGAATATTTTACGTATAAAATACACATTATATTGTGTGTTGACAATGTTTCAAAATATTATAGGAAATACATTAGCCTTACGTACTCGGAATATTCATTGTAAAAAGTAAAATTAAATGTCTAATAAAAATTTCTTTAAATATTTTTGGTAATTTTTTTTTTTATTGAAAATATTCACGAGGGAATCGCGGTCACGAAATTTTTTTCAAAATAATAGAAATATTGGAGGTATACAATTGTCGTACGTCAATAAATATTTGACGTAAATCTAGTTAAAAAAAAACTTAACATTAGGACTTAGAGTACCGAGTTTGTACGTCAAACTACGATAAATGGATAAAAACAATATTGTTTTATATGTAATATTTTACATTWTTGGATTATTATATATAAATCATAGGTAATAAAAAAATGGATAGGCCATTCCTATATTAATAACACAGGGGATTGTGTGCCGGAATGTGGATGAGAGATAGACTGCTTTTATATAGTGCTCTCACTTTAGTAAATGGTATTATCATTTATTTTATTTCATTGATATTTCATCTGCTATGCCAAATAGTTGCTAATAAATAAACAAGTAATTTCTATGATACCAATTTTGATATTTTGATAATTGGATAATTGATAAAACCCCTTGTAACCACAAAGTAAAATAATCTTCATCCCCGTGCGATAAGGCCTGATGGCCTATCCATTCTTTTATTATCTATGATTTAGATTAAAAGATTAATTTTAATTCGGTTATCTATTTTTATCACATCGATTGACAATACAGCCATGATCGGCATTCGACGTTCAGTGCTCACAGTTATAATCGACGATTGTTTGTCTAAGCTAATATTAATTGCTACAGCAGGTTACTTCTATGTTTGATAAACTCTATTAATGTAGAGCTCTAATAATATTATAAAAATAATAAATAATAATAAAAAAATGGTATTTTTTGTTTTTGTTTTAATTATTTAAAAATGTCAATAACAATTTACATTACCATGCTATGATACTACATTAGGTATTTATAATTAAAATAACAAGGAATTCATTAGAATTTAGATTACCTAATGCTATAGTATTTTGCCAATAATAATGTTTTAATTAATAAGCTATAAACATGTATAAGGCAAAAAAATTACTTCATTGAAACGAATTGTGTTACATAATTCAAAACCACGGTCAGGAAATTCATATAATAAATACTCTTACAAATTACAATTATTTGAAATTTACATAAATACAAAATATAAAATAGATACACAAGAATGTGGGAAGCATTCAAACAATTAGTCATCGTGTCTTAAACATTTTGCTGATTCTATAGTAATTGCTTATTTAAAACATTGTTAAGCAAGACAGAATCAAACATGATTATACATTTAATTTTTTTAATTTTATTATATCGGTACATTTTAGGTACAATTAGTTAAAATTATTTTAAGTTTTATCAAATATTATTCATTCCCATGTTAACATCAAATTTTAATGCGTTTAATGTGATTGAATATGTTTTTTAGCTTATTGACTAGCAATTATTATAGTAAGCGATGAATATTGGAATCATTAAGATAAAATATTAATGTATTTTACAATAGTCAAGCTTGTTTGATACTTGAAGTTATCATTTTACGGGTCATTTTCTCAACATTCGTTACAACGAAAATCAATTCCTAAAATCATCATGCGTATATTCCCTACWATATTAAATTAATTATCAGCTTTTTAATTTTATTTTTATCACATTTAGACCAAACAAAAAAATTAGAAATATACTTTATGAAATTTATAATATTTTAGTACCTACCTAATATATTATTAAGTATATACTTTATAGTATACACTATACGACATTGATCTAATCAATCAATTCGTTTATTATATTAATATTTTTAAAATTTTAATAGTTAACCATCAGGCGCCCAAGAATTTTTAATTTTAATTTTTTCAAATTACACATTGTGAATTTTTTAAAGCCTTAGATACATATTATCAACATCTTAAATGCAAATTTAAATACATCGAAATTTGTTAGTTTTAAAATTTTAAATACGGATTATGTTTAACAATGATATATTATTTTTCTAGTAATAGTGTATTTCAATAGTTCCGAGTATAGGTAGTTGAATTACCTATATGCGCTCAGTAATTTATTTATGTGTATAAGAAAAAATACATATAACGATATAACCATTCAACATCTTTTGAAAAACATTGTATGTTTTATTTGGAATCTCCAAAACTAATGTAATATTTTGATATTGTTTACCCTAATTAACTATGTCAGGCTGGTCCAACCCTTTTTAGATTCTGAACGAAGTGATGAATGTATTGATTTTACAATGATGTGTGTTTTTTTTTTTATGTTTTTTTTTTTGTGTCTGTGTACAGCATAACTAGTCAAAATAATGCTTCGATTTCAAACTTTGGGGGTGGTTTCCGATGTAAAATTGAAGATCCTTGGTGCATTATAGAGGTCAAAAGTAAACATTTTCCAACAGTTTTCAAAAAAATCGAGAAAAACAAAAAAAAATGACAGAAAAACGGGAATTTTTACGCAAAACCAGTTTTCCACTTAAATTTTCGATTTTTTTGAGAATTTTTTTTTGAAGTGTCGGTAAAAAAATGTTGGACGACCAAAAAAACTTGAAAATTTAATACACGGTTCCTTATGAGTGGTTCTTATTGTAGCTAAAAAAAATTAAATATCGTAAGTCACAATTTTTTTAAATAAGCGTTTACAGTTCAAAATTTTACGAAATCTGTCGAAAACGAGAGAATTTGCAATTAATTTTGAAGTTGAAAAATCATAAAATTTTTTTCGTTTATAACTAAGGATTAAAAATACAAAACTAAGTTTTCCTTCAAGTAGCTATAGAAAAAACTCGAAGCATCATTATAGGAAAAATTTTAAGTGCGTTTGAATTTTAAATTTTTACGAAATAGCGTAACGATAACGACTTATCCTCAAACGATTTTAAACATTTGTTATTATTCAAAAAGTATAAGTCATAGATACTTGAAAAATTTTACCAGTTATTTAGATTGGCGTTTTCTTTACATGATTTAATTTTCAAAATATTCTGACTTTTTTGAGGTATTTATACAAAACTGAAATTTTCAATTTTTCTGAAAATTTTATTTTGAAGTGTCGATAAAATTTTTTGGCCCTATCAAAATGCTTGAAAATTTAATACCATCGCGTAATGATAACGATTTATCCTCAAACCAGGTATATCTATGATAATATAAGATATTATGAATTATGATAACTACATGATAACTACACTAATTGATTAACCATGCCATATGCAAAACGCGTCTTAATTGAAAAATAAAATATTTGTTTTAAAATAGAATATATGACAATATTTAAATATAATATATCCCAGACTGACAAATCATCTCCGTTCAGAATCGTTTTTCGTATACAATGATACCTATCATTGCATTCAAATTTAATCCCATCCATACAGTAACCTACTGTACAGCAGAGCGACATCCAAGACTTAACCGCTTTTTT